TTGTCGACAGGCCAACGTGAATGGTGCTCTGGAGAGGACTCTCTGGGTTTCTATAGGGCCTTTGGTAGTGGGCTGAGTGATGTAGAATTAGATGAGCTCTTCATCAGAAGGCACTGCTGGCCGTCCGAGCCCGTGTGGAGGGCAGGCCCCTGTGGCCACCCAGAGTTCTGTCTTCACTAACAGTTGGCAGGGGCGGACCCAGTGTCTTGGCTGAGGCCATTAATGGAGCAATGGCCAGACATGTGACATGAATACAACTGACAGCAAATTGAAGATCCCAGAAGATCTCAATAGACTATAATGATGGGCTGAGTGGAGAAGAGAGAGCCAGCTGCACAATTCAGAACAGGATCTGGGATGTGGGATTTGACAGCAAGACGTGTGAAAAAGACTTGGCTCGATCTGTTAACTGCGCATCGTCACAGGTCTGCCGTGAAAATGAGCGTCAGCCTCAGCTCTGAGAGCCTCACTTGTTGGGAATGTTGACACCTCCCAACCCAGAATGGCAAAAAGATTGTGAAAGGTAGAAAAGTATGGCTGTTGCGCCTAGAGGAGGGGTAGCCATGGGAAGTACAGCACCTTCCTTCAAGTACGTGGAGGGCCGAACTAAATGGACGAATACGTGGACATTAGACTAGGTGATCCTTGAGGTGTTTCCTAAGCCTAAGGTTCTAGGGATTTTATCATAATACCAAAAAGAGAGAGAGAGGTGAGCGAGGGAGATGAGGAGGGTGGAAGTTGGGTTGCAGTTATCCATATGAACTTCATTTACTTACTAAGTAGTAGTAAGCTTTTTTTTTTATTGAGGTTATGTTGGTTTATAACATTGTGAACTTTCAGGTGTACATTATTATATATCAGTTTCTGTATAGACTGTATTGTGCTCACCACCAATAGTCTAGTTTTTGTTTTGTTTTGTTTTGTGAGGAAGATCAGCGCTGAGCTAACATCTGTTGCCAGTCTTCCTCTTTTTTTGCCGAGGAAGACTGGCCCTGGGCTAACATCCGTGCCTGTCTTCCTCTACTTTATATGGAGGCCGCCACAGCATGGCTTGACAAGTGGTGCATCGGTGCGAGCCTGGGATCCGAATCTGCCAATCCTGGGCCGCCGCAGCGGAGCGCACGCACTTAACCGCTGCGCCACCGGGCCGGCCCGCGATAGTCTACTTTTTATCCGTCACCATACATATGTGGCCCTTTACCCCCTTCTCCCACCCCCAACCCCCTTACCCTGTGGTAACCACTCATTTGTTCTCTTTATCCATGTTTTTGTTTATCTTCCACATATGAGTGAAATCATATGGTGTTTGTCTTTCTCTCTCTGGCTTATTTCACTGAACATAATACCCTCAAGGTCCATCCATGTTGTTGCAAATGGGATGATTTTGTCTTTTTTTATGGCTGAGTATTCCATTGTATATATATACCACATCTTCTTTATCTATTCATCAGTTGATGGGCACTTGGGTTGCTTCCACATCTTGGCTGTTGTGAATAATGCTGCAATGAACATAGAGGTGCGTAGATCTTTTGGTATTGTTGATTTCATGTTCTTTGGATATATACCCAGTAGTAGGATAACTGGATCATATGGTATTTCTATTTTTAATTTTTTGAGGAGTCTCCATACTGTTTTCCATAGAGGCTGTGCCAGTTTGCATTCCCACCAGCAGTGGATTAGGGTTCCCTTTTCTCCACATCCGCTCCAACATTTGTTTTTTGTCTTTGTAGTTATAGCCATTCTGACAGGTGTAAGGTGACATCTCATTATAGTTTTGATTTGTATTTCCCTGATGATTAGTGATGTTGAACATCTTTTCATGTGCCTGTTGGCCATCTGTATGTCTTCTTTGGAAAAATGTCTATTCATATCCTCTGCTCATTTTTTGATTGGGTTGTTTGTCTTTTTGTTATTGAGTTGTGTGAGTTCTTTATATATTTTGGAGATTAACCCCTTTTCAGATATATGACTTGCAAATATTTTCTCCTAGTTGGTAGGTCATCTATTTGTTTTGTTCATAGTTTCCTTTGTCTTGCAGAAGCTCTTTAGTCTGATGTAGTCCTGTTTGTTTATAGTAGTAACCTTTTTATTTAGTTATAATGTGCATGCAGGAAAGGACACATCAGAGGTGGACACTCAGTGCACTTCACAAAGGGGACCGTTCTGTGTAACCAGCACTACGTCACGGGACAGAATGTCACCTGCTCCCCAGAAGCTCCCTCAGGCCCCTCCCCACCTCTGCAAAGAAAACCACTTCCCCTCCTTCCGTCCCATAGATTCGTTTTGCCTGTTTTTGACCATGAATACAGTCACGTGTCCCTTAATGACAGTGATACTTCTGAGAAAAGCGTCATTAGGTGATTTTGTTGTTGTGTGAACATCGTAGAATGTCCTTATACAAACCTAGATGGTCTAGCCTACTGAACACCTAGGCTGCGTGGTGTAGCCTCTTGTTCCTCGGCCACAGACCTATACAGCATGTTACTATACTGAATACTGTAGACAGTCGTAACACAATAGTAAGTATTTGCATATCTAAACATAGAAAACGTACCATGAAAATACGGTATAAAAGATAAAATATGGGGGCCAGCCCAGTGGTGTAGTGGTTAAGTTCACGCACTCCCCTTTGGTGGCCCGGGGTTCACAGGTTCAGATCCCAGGCATGGACCTTCACACTGCTCATCAAACCATGCTGTGGTGGCATCCCACATGGAAAATAGAGGAAGATTGGCACAGATGTTAGTTCAGGGCCACTCTTCCTCACCAAAAAAAAAAAAAA